ATATATATATATAATAAAAGGAAAAAATATATAAGGAAAAAACCGAAAGTGTTTAATTTTTACAATCGAGCAGGCAATACATCTTCCTCGCATATCTTCCACGACTGAACCACAAACAACATCGCATATCTGCCACCACTGGACAGCAAACTACGATATTCTTCTATTCGCTAGATACATTCCCTGTTGCATATCCCCAATTCAAAGACCTATCAACTAACCAACAGTCATATTATTATTGAAGGCAACGACAAAGAATGTTAGTTGACCATACTGCTTGCTTATTGTATAACTCATTATCACTGCTTACCATTCACCCCGTAATGTATACATATATATATTTTACACCCCTTTTGTTGTTAACTAGCAATCTTGTGCAGGAACAATATTACATCCTGAATAAATCTATATCGCTGAGAAACGAATTCAACAGCTTTCCCGAAATTTTTTTGGTACCAGGACCTCACGAAGAGTTATGCGAACATTATGAAGCCAGGAAGGAATGTCATTTACAATAATACAGAGCGCAAACTCGGCAAAGGGGAAGCTAATCAAAGTTCTTAAAGAAGTGAAAGAATTGGATCTGAGACCATTCGACAAACAGTTACTTCACGAAGAGTTATGCGAACATTATGAAGCACGAAAAGGAACTATCAAAGAAATGATAGAATTGAAGCACATATAGGAGTGTTGGAACGCATCAACAAAGAATGGAGGGATTTTATTCAAACGGCCTCTCCTCAACAACAGAAGACAGGGAATAGAAAGCACGCAGAAATGACAGAAGATGACCAAGGAATATTAAACCTGATAAGTCAGTAGATGGAAGCAGTGGCAACTCTAAAAAGATATGAGGACGACACAGAAGATAAAATTCGATCAGATCAAAAGGGGAGTTTGCGAGCCAACTATCACAACAAGAGAGGCAACTATTCAAGCAGCTCAGAGAGCGACAGCCAAACTACCCCAATTGAAACTGCGGTGTTTAGCGGGAATCCTTGAAATTGGAGAGCATTCTAGAGCGGCTTTAAAGAAACGGTACATAGCCACGACCTTCCGGATATCCAGAACCTCAATTATCTTACTTCGTGTTTAAAAGACGAAGCATTACAAGCAGTTGGTGGATAAGAGGTTACGCCAGAGAATTACAATCTTATCCGAGAGATATTGATACAGAAATACGATGATACGTTACTATCACAAGTTTGTTTTATAACGATCTTTTCTCAGTCAGAAAAAATGGTCGTGAATGGAAAACAACAATCGAAAATATGGAGAGGTTATTCAGACAACTGCAGCGGTTAAGAAAATCTGGAACATACAAGTTTACACGTAATTGTCGAAAGGAACTTGTCAAAGCATATCCTGATTAAAGTTCATGAGCAAAGATTGAAAGACAAGTTTTGGTCAGTAAGCAGATTGAGACAGTTCCTAAGAGAGTTAATGAAGTTAGAGAAAACTGGTTCAAAATCAAAGTTCCACTAATGAAATCGAGAAGAAGCCAACTCGATCTACCATAAATCGACAGTTCCGAAATAGCGAATAATTCGAAAATGAAACGTCGGCGCTAACCATAGTTAAATCTCAAGAGCAGTGGTCGATAAGACGAGATTAGACAGGGAACAGGTTGGAAGAACCGGGACAGGACCTTGCATTTTGTAATAAAGATCATTGGGACGATAAATGTCGGAATTATATGTCGTCGATAAATGTCGTCCAAACCTTGAAACAACGACTATAGCGCGAGTGAAATTAGCGCCTGCCTAATTAAAATGTATGAATTTGGGCCATACCGCAAGTAACTGTAGAATGAAAATGACGGCATAATGCTTCCACTGCAGGGGTCCACACAAATCAGCGTTATATAACAGACATGATATGAGCGCTACTCGGACGAAATAAGTAAGGAAAAAGTGGAACCAATGTATACAACTAATTCAGTGACTGGTCAGAAAGATCCACAAGGAAGAATTTTACTATTATGTAAAGAAGTTAGCGTAGTCAGTCCCAAAGCTCCGGATATAGAAATTTTGACCAAGGTGCGCAGTTGTCATTCATTCCAAAGGGTTTAGCGGATCGACTAAGTCTGCAAGGAATTATGGAGGAAGAAATAAGCATTACTTCGTTCGGCGACAAATTATCGAAGAATTACTACTCCACAAAGGCGAAAATTGGATATATTAGGGATTACCTGTCAAATAAATTACAAGTGGTGCGGACAAGTGAAAAGGATAATCATCATTGACGGAGTATGATCAATTAGACGGCTTAAAAAGTTATTGGAAACAACCTGATACACTTCTCGGCACGGATTATATAGGCAAATTCATCGAATGGAGCAAAACACGAGCTGAAATTAGGATTTTTCCTATTCTGGAAAAAGTTGGACCAATACTGAACGGAACTAGATATATAAATAATACTAGCAGCATGAATGCAATATCAGTCGAGACTGCCGTAACGTACTGGACTAAAGTAAATAAGGACCATAACATTGATCGTTTTTGGAAGTTGGGACTCATGGGCACTCAGGATCAACTCCATAAAAATGACGACGAGCAAGCTCTAAAGCAATTCAAAAGGAGCATTATCAAACAGAAAGGAAGATATCAAATCAGATGGCCATGGAAAGAATCAAAGGATAAAGTTCGTCACGCAATTGGAACTAAACGGGGTCCAATAACCCTTTGTTCGGACTCGAAATGTGCACTACATTGGATATAAAATCATTCAAAAAAAAAAAATTCAAAATTGCTACCAAGATTCGTACAGAATCGGGTAGAAGAATATGAAAAGCAAAAATTTCATTTCGATATGTCACAAGTGAGTACAACCCTGTGGATGTTGCTGTAAAAGGGCTTCCCTCAGCAAAACTAAAGCAGTATGAATTATGGTGGAAAGGACCACTATGGTTAAAAGAACCGGAACTATATGACCTCAGTGGGTATATCAGACCATGAAAGAATACGAAGACGAAATAGAAGAACGAATCATTGCACAAATCACGACTCAAAAATCGAGAATACATACTTCCGGATCACCGATGCAAACTGATTTAGCAAGTGGTCAAAATTGGTAAAAACGACTATTTGGGTTCTTAAATTTATTAAAAGGACAACAAAAGGAAAATTATGGTTAAATCCGTTATCGACACAAGGACATCAACTAACAGCTGGAGATCATAAATTAGCTGAGTGGGTGATCATTAAACAAGCACAAACAGAAACGATTACCGAAGAGATAGAGGAATGGAACTTATACTACGACGAGGGCAAGTTATGGAAATCACAAAGCCGCCTAGAAAATTCGGAATTGGATGAACAAAGCAAATATCCAGTTTATTACCGAGACATAATACAGCTACCGAGCTTTTAATACGGCAACAACATGAAGCACTATATCATGCTGGAATTGCACATACACTCTCAGAACTGAGACGTAAATTTTGGATACCAAAAGGCCGAACTAAAGTCACGTTTTATATCAACAACTGCATCGGTTGTAAACGATGGTCGGCGAAACCATTCAAGTTGCCCATCACGCTGAATCTACCAAAAATGCGAGTCAGTCGACCAAGAGCCTTTATAAATGTTGGTCTGGACTATCTAGGTCCGCTCAATCAAAACTGAGGACGGAATATCCAAAAGATGGATTGCCTTATTCACATGCTTTATCATGAGAGCAATACATTTAGAAACAGCAGACAATTTATCTACGGAAACTTACCTCCACGTATTGAGAAGATTAATATCCCAACGGGGATATCCAGAGCGATGCATAAGTGATAACGCGGGTCAGTTCCAATTCATCTTTAAAACCATAAAGGAACAGCATACAAAATTAACGGAATTCTCAGCAGAAAAGAAGATCTGGGAGAATATACTCCAAGAGCACCCTGGAGTGGAGGAATCCATGAACGATTGGTTGCATTGACAAAGAGAACTATGAGAAAAGCCATCGGAAGGAAGCTACTATGCGAAAAAGAATTCATAACTTTAATTGTGGAGATAGAATCTTATACACTCGATCACTAACGTATGCCAATTTTGACGACAGTGAGGTAATACGTCTAGTAGATTTCATACAACCCAATGCTTCCTTAGTTATACTGACAACTAATGACAATCAAGATGAACACGTGCCAGGAACGCTGAACACGAAGAAACGAACGACTAATTAAATATTAGATGACTACATTCAAGGTACTCGACACATTTTGGGAATTATGGAAAACAGAGTACTTGACAAGCCTCAGAGAACGAACCCATTAAGAGCACGCGAATCCCAAAGTCACGAAGAATAGCTCACCACGAATAGGAGAGATTGTATTGTTGGACGAACATGAAACTCTCTGAGGTCTTTGGAAATTAGCAAAAATAAAGGGATTTAGAAAAGGAAAAGATGAAGTCACAAGAGCTGCAGTGATAGAAACTCCGTAGAAAACTCCTCACAAGGCCGATAAACACGTTATATCCCCTCGCTGTCAACACAAGTCTGACATAAAAAGAGAAGAGGCTAAAAATAAGCCAGAGAACGCCGAAGAAGCGATTGCACTGAGAACAATAAGCACAAGTAAAACAAAGAAACTTCCTTCTGCAGGCATTGATCTCCTCGAGTTAGCGATGTCGGATTATCTGTCCAAATTAAATTTCCACAATATCTAACAGATAGGATGATGAAATAAGTAAAATTAAAGCAATGAAGAATATAAGCTAACAATAGACAGCATAACACAAAGACATCTCAGTATCTACGCCAAGGACAATGATATCCATTATACCTATACAATGGACAATGCCAAAGGGTAGCCATATCTCCATGATAATCCCGATGGAGCTTACAAAGCTCCTCCCTAATCATTATATATATAAGAGAAAATTCTAAACAGTTTAGTTCCTTACAGTCAAGCAAACTACGATATCCTCTTCGCATATCTGCCACCGTTGAAAAACAGGCTACAATATACCTTCTTTTCGGTAAAAATATTTCCTGCAACATATCCCCAGCTCAAACAAGGACGAATTCTATATATCAATATATATATATATATATATATATCAATCTATCAACAAGACGACAGTCAATTATTATGGAAGACAAAGACAAGGGATTTGTTAGTTGACCATATTATTTGCTTATTGTATAACTCATCACTATTCCCAATTCATCGTGCAATATATACAATTAACTAATAATATTGTGTGTGTCTCGAATAAATCTATATTGCTGAAAACCGAATTCAACAGATTAGCTTTCCCGACTACTATCACATAATTCGATTGTCTGAATCATACCTAGATTTGTGGCTGAACTGTTATTTTATTCACTACAAATAAACCTTTCTATTAGTGGGTTGCCTTTTCGAATTTTTTTCTTATTTTTCAGTGCATTTTATACCTATATTCTCTATTATCTTCTAATAAATAAATCTTTTTACTTTCCAATTTTATATGCTTTTATTATGACTTTCTTCCTTTCTCAATGCAATAGATCTTTAATTCACCAAAATAATGCTTTGCAGATCAAACTTAGGTCACCGTACCTGCGGAGCGGAAGCAGTGCGACGAGTAACTGCGAATCAAATTGTGGAAGGACGGGCATTAACGAACAAGCGAAACAGAAAAGGGACGACTCATTACTTGCCAAGGAAAAACAAAGCGACGTGCAGCCGGACTTGAGAATGCA